ATATTTATAACCTACATTTAAATTTGGGAAATACTGATTAAAAATACTACACAGATGTCCTAACAAAATATTTGTAAGTGTGGACCATTTTCCAAGATACAAAATTTAAGTACATTATCTTTACTATATATAAAAGCATGAAGCTTTCCTCCAAAGGTTATCTTGAAACCATGGAACAAACAATTTCTAAATGTTATTCTAAATGGAAGTATATCTACAAAGTACATCTACATACTATATATTGAATTTATATATGCATATTTACATAGTTGTATAATTATATAGTACAAGTAAAAAATAATAAATGTGAATAATACATGATCACTTCAGGAGAGTGGGAAGAAGAATGGGGAAGGGAAGAGGAGGATTTTAGTGTTATTGTAGAAATTTAAATGTATTAAGAGAGATATCTTATACCAAATTTTAAAAACTATTAAAAATAGTACACGACACTTATTATATAATTTACATAACATGATACTTGTTATATAACAAGTCTATATGTGTGAATTTTTTTTTTTGGTTTTTCTGAGATAGGGTCTGTCTCTGTCACCTAGGCTACAGTACAGTGGTGCAATCATGGTTCACTGCAGCCTCAATCTCCTGGATTTAACCGACACTCCAGCCTCAGCCTCCAGAGGAGCTGACACTACAGGTGTAAATTTTTAAATATATTTTTTTTCTGCAGAGATGGGATCTCACTATGATGCCCAGGCTGGTCTTGAATTCCTTGACTCAAGCAATCCTCCCGCCCTGGCCTCCCAAAGTGCCAGGATTACAGGCATAAGCCACCACTCCCAGTCTGAAATATTTTATAATTTAACATGTACTTGCTTTAACTTTATAAAAACAGTTATAAGGTAATAAGAGTACTTATAGCTTATAGTTATAACTGTATAGCTTACAACTGTATAGCTTATAAATGTAGCTTATAAGCTTAGAACTATAGCTTATAACTTATAAATGCAAGCTTATAGCTTATAACCGTAGCTTTGAGTAGTGAGTTTCAAATTCCCTGATCACATATTTAAAGGAAAATAAAAGCACGTGTTGATAGGTTCTGTCTTTTTGGTTGAATGTTTTCAGCGTCGTGTTGGGAAAGCCAGGTTGCAAAAGATACAAAGACACTGTAAAAAGTTCAAGTTCTCTTCACGAGCTCTAGTTAGTGTGACGATAGGTAACACATTAATTAAAGATCATTAGCCAAACAGCAAGTTATAAAATGAGATTGCACAAAAGCAGCAAATGAGGTTGAATCAACTTAGAGGCAAGAATCTTCTTTGAAAACTCAGAATTCTAGATTAGATGAAAGGATGCAGGAAAATAAGCAGAAAGCAAGACGACAGAGAGGAGTCATATGGCAGAGCAACAGTGGGTGCCAGAAAGTTGGGGCATGAGTGCAGAGTCGACCACTAGAGACCAAACAGGAAATTGCTGATAAAAAGAGAAAATATTTTAGAGGCATTGAGAATGCAAAAGCATCTAAACTGTAAACTGGGGAGAGAGAACATAATAGAAAGATCCAGATTCTAATACCATCTTATGAGTTCAATTTTAGAAAAATTTCAACTCTGATTACTAAGCAGACATGTGATGCTAGTATAGTCTGTCAAATTCTTAAATCCTCTATTAGTTCTTGAAATAGAATAGAGTAGGCTGAAGGTGAAGAAAGTTTGAAGTTGAAATTTCAAATAAATATTCTGGAGCTGCTACAATCGGGATATTCTACTTATTTTGGTCAGGCATTCAAACCTGGTGTTTGCCCAAGATTGTAATAAACAGTGCAACAGCCCTACAAGAGCATTCCTCCACGGTCTAATATAATTGTATTTGTGTACATTTTTTAAAACTTGTTTTTCCCTTGGTATAAAGTTTAAAAGAGCAGACACCTTCGAGCAAATAGAAGTGATTTTATACAAACTATTAACAACTCGCAAAATGAATTTGTAACTATCTTGTCATGACACAAGGCTAGCATAGATTTAAATTTTTACTCAGGCAAAAATAGAGCTCCAAGATGTTCTTTAAAGACCTTTAATAATTTAATCCAAATGTGCCAAATGTACATTTTTACAGATTCATAAATTCAGCTGTCTCAAAAACCAGGCGTTAATAAAATGGGAAGTTATATAGTTAATTTAATTTTTAAAATTTATATCCAAAGTTTCACCAAGACTAAATTATTAATGCTGGTCTCCTACACTATATTGAATTTACATCTATTCAAAGTCTCCTTAAATTATACATTAGCATACAATTTTTTCATAGATTGAACATTTGTTGTTAAAATTGTAAGTACTCATAGACCCAATTATACCAGGTTAAATTCAATAAACATGGTATTTCAGTAAATATAAATACAGAATTTAAAAAATATTTACAATGATTATTATTTTAATTCCCTACACTATATATATATTTTCTATGTGTTAAGTTACTCTGCTTCATTTTTTTCATAGTGCTTCTCTCTCTCTTTCTCTTGCTTCTATATTGCTTTCTTTACATAATTTAAATAAAAACAAAACAAATTGTTTAAATTAGAATATGTCAAGGTAGAACAAATTACAATGTTCAGACTTTAGAAATGAAATAATCCTATTGATAATGGAACTATAGATAAATACAAAAATTGGTGCTGAGAAGTAAGAGATAATAACTAGGTGAACTTCAAGAGCATAATAGAATCTCCCCTTAAACATAGCACGGGTTAAGAAAACTATGGACACAAACTGAAATAAAAATGGATTCTAAATAGAGATCCTGCAAGAGGGAATAGGTTAGACACTCATCCCACACTTAATGCAATCCTACTCTACATCCTGCTAAGTCCTGAGGATACGGGACATGTGAAATAGTGAAACACACCCATGCTTCTAGACAAGATCGGTTCTTAGACATAAGGATACATAACTGAGTCAAACGATAAGGACTTGGCATAACACAGTGAACCTTTACAAAGTGTTATGTTTCTTTCCCATTCAATAAAAACACCAGAAGGAGAATCATCCCAGGGAGTGTTAAAGAATTAGCATAAATATGTAACATTTCTATATTTATTGAGGACAAAAGGAAACAAGGTGGCCACTTATCCCTTTAGAAAATAAGGGGCATGAAATGCTGTACTAAGATATCACATAGAATTTTCTTTACATTAATTAGCACCTGTGCACAATAAAATTGTATAACTCAAATCAGATGACAACCCTCCATCCTTGCTCCCCGTATGTGTGTGTGTGTGTGTGTGTGTGCGCGCGTATGTGTGTGTGTGTGTACACTGGTCTGGAACTTACAGCAATACTAGTGGCTGGGAGAATCCTATATAACCTCACTACTGAAAACATTTAAATATATTTTTCTCTTCATATGGAAAGAATGAAGTATGTTTATGCTGTATCCACAGAGGTTCAAAGCAGATGCTTTGGTTTCCAATAACCCTGGAGTCACATCTCAGTTACAGGACTTGCTAGCTGTAGGACTTTAGACAAGTTACAGAACCTCTTTTTGCCCACTTTCCTTATCAATGAAATAGGGGTAATAAAGAGATTAAGTAAGATAATCACTCTAAAGCTTTTAACATATTTCTCGGGCCATATGGTTACCATCAACTAAATATTCGGTATTGTTGTTACTAAGGTGATTGATAATAATCTATTTGAAGCATATAATCTACCAAAACAGAGTTAAACCATGCTAAAGTGAGGAAAAGGAAAGAGAGGAAAATACAGAAATAACAACCCAGTCCAGAAATTGTTCAGAATTAACAAGTCATTATTTCACTTTTGTTTGGTAAGTGAAAATGCAAAAGACAACAGAGTAAACTAGCCAGTAATATAAACTAGCCCACAAAAGTCCTTGGTAGTTGCTATGGACTAATTGGTGATGAATGCAGTTTGAGGCTTTGTGAAGTAATTCTGAAAACCAATTCCACAAAGTGGTAAATGGTAGTTTTATGATATTGTGGTAAGCTATACTGGTTGCATATTCTAAAGACCCAATTATAAGAAGATAGTATTAGGAAAATCACTTAGAGACATGTTATTATTGCCAGCACTTATACATGTAGCTCATAAGTGTTGTTGAAAATAAATGAAATTTCAGAGCACTTAAAGGTTTTTCATTATTTTCATTTTCTCCATAAAAGTTCAATGAAAGTACTGTGGAATCTAGCAAATGCATTTAACACACTTTTATGAAGTCTGGGAGTCCTATCCAGTTTGGACAAACTTTGTCTTTTCTAATCAATTACTAGATGAAATGCTTTTTGCTTATCCAACAATGCCAAATCGGCATATTTGTCTACAGAACAGGCTCAATTAATGTTAATAAATGCTGATAAAATGAATTACACATAGCAAATACTCTTGATTTCTGTCTCAGTGTTAACAGCTTTAAGATAGAATCAAATATATTAAACAAAATAAATATATTCTCCATTTCTGCAATGTCAATCAATAAATTATTGTAAATAAAATTATTTTAAGTGAAAATATTAATGTTTCAAAAGCAAATGCTGGCTTAAATGATCACCGTCATCTACTAATACAGAACAGATGCTTTTTATTCTTTTCTCACACTGTATTCTATTAAAGAATGACATACAATAATCATTGAATAACTACAGAATCTTAGGGATTTAAGCAAAAAAAAAATGAAATCCAGAATGATGTGAATATAGTGTTTCCTTATTTCTATTCACTAAATGCTAATGCTAGCATGTTCACACTCTAATATAAGAAAATAATGGTCTTATTCTACCTCTTTGGTTTATCTTTTATAAAGTTCTGGGTTATATTAAGGAATATTTACTCTTCCATCTTATCACTCCAGGCTTTTTGTAAAGTAGCTAACCTACGTTTTTATGAGTCTGTGAACACAGAGACAAAACCTTTTCAGGTAAGACCTTAGTTTCAAAAGAATTGTGTTCAAATTTGCTTCACTGTGGTTATTGCAGATGATGACCCAAAAACGGAGAGAGAAGACCCAGAGTCACAAACACTCACCGCAGTTGGCCTCGTCTGATGCATCTGCACAGTCTGGATCCTCATCACAAACCCACAGCTTGGAAATGCAATGTTTCGTAGTCTTACACTGGAAATAGTCTGGAGAACAGCTGTTTTCAGCTTAGGAAGAAAACTGCTATTAAAATGTAGCTTTGGAGAACATATTTATTTATTAAAAACAAATTTTATAGACAAATGTTTAAGAGAGTTTATCAAAAAAATATTGTCTTTAAATTAATAGGACACTGAAGGTGAGGAATTTTAACTTTTAATTTCTTATGAGATACTCCTGATATCCTCTCCAGTAAAAGAAAACATATTTTTGCAGTGATACACTGATAAATATCAGAGTTTTCAAAAAAACTTTTGATTAGATATTTGAACACTAATTTTAAGAATTAAGAATTCAGAGACTTTCAAAATAAGTCTTCTTCCAGAAAAAAATAAGAATTCATAGGTACACATTTTTGTAAACTCAAAAATACTAAAATTGGAAGGCATTAAGTGAATAAGGAAATAAAAAGTACAAAGTTTATCAAAATGTCTAGGAATTGTGTTGAGTTTTATACATGTATGGAGTCTTGCTCTGTTGCCCAGGCTGGAGTACAGTGATACGGTCTCGGCTCACCGCAACCCCCATCTCCCAGGATCAAGCTATTCTCCTGCCTCAGTCTCCCGAGTAGCTGGGATTATAAGCACCTGCCACTGTGCCCAGTTAATTTTTGTATTTTTATTAGAGACACGTTTTCACCATGTTGGCCAGGCTGGTCTCGAACTCCTGACCTCAGGTAATCCACTTGCCTCGGCCTCCCAAAGTGCTGGGATTACAGGCGTGAGACACTGTGACCGGCCTGTGTTGAGTTTTTGAGGGAAGTGAACATCCAACTTAGACTGTAAACTGCATCACAAATCCTAGTCAGTTCAATGCATCATCTTCTAGAATGGCTAACCATAAAGAACTGGTACTGACTTTATTCTGAATGCACCCTCTTAATCAAATTGCTGGATGACTGCACATTATTTACTGATAAAATTTTAGAGGAATAAAATAAAACTTGAGCAAGACAGAAATGTTGACAACAGTTCTGTTGAAGCCCTGAAACTTGACAGGTGCTCCATTGTTCACACAATCTGAATGTGTGAGTGCGTGTGCAAGCATGTGCATGTCAGCCTATGTGCATATATATGTACATGGTATAAACTGTTTTGCCTTCCATTTAACGTAATTTGAATTTTGATGGAAGATGGAAATATGAGATGAAAAGAAACAAAATATTTTACTATCATTCTTTCAAATAGTTCATTAAGATATGTTAAATAGAGCATTATTTAGAATTTTATAGAAGTTAAACTTTTGTTAGACTATTTTACCCAGATTTTATATGTCTCTTCATGAGTACAACATGTATTTCATGGAGAAAAAAACTCTCTAATTAAAAATAACTTAACTTCAAGAAACGAATTAATCAACAGAAGTAAATTACCTTTATCTACTTAATGTGGGCAAGCATACATTTAAAAAAACATAATCAACTGTCATGTTGTATTTGATGCTTCTCTTAAGGATGATGTGGATGAATGAATGTTGTTCATGTTTGTCGTAATTTCCAGGTAGATTTTAAAGTAAACTTGCCCATATTTTCATTTTCTCTATTTTTATTTAGAGCTTCTATCCCAGTTGGCACCTATTTCTAATTATTTGACCGTAATTTATTTTTAATTTATCTACATCATATGAGTTTATGAAGTATAGTAATAATTTTTAGACTTATTTTAGTTAGGAGTCAAAGTTAAGACAAGACAGAGCATTTTGAGCTGACTTACGACAGTCTCTTTCATCTTCCTCATCACCACAGTCATCTTGCCCATTACATCTTAAGTTTACTGGGATACATTTCTGGTTCTTGGTACACTTGAATTGACCTGACAGGCAGACATGTGTGTCTAGAACATAGAGAGAGAGGAAAAAAAAATATGTATCTGAATTTAAATCGCACAGACATAATCAGTTGAGAATTAGACTTACGTTCATTAGTTAGGAATTTAATCACCTACCACAGTTGAGTTCATCAGAATTGTCTCCACAATCATTCTCTCCATCACAGATGAAAGCTGGTAGAGCACAGAGTCCAGTCCCACACTGAAATCGGCCTGGCTGACATTTAAATTCAGCTAGGGGAGAGAGCATAGATATTGTGGAATGGCAATCTTACCTCACAACTTCTTAAACAGAGACTTTCTGGCATTCAAGATATTTACTACAATAAATATATCCTAGAACACAATGTGAATGTCTCTCATCTCGATAGCTATCAGATTCAAATGTTTAGCTTTGAGCAACTCAGATGGCTTCCAGAAAA